CTATAACAAACCAAACCACACTTCAGATGCTTACTTCTCAACCGGTAAACTGAAAACCGTTTATAAAGGCATCAAAAAAGCAGATATTTAAAGTTGCAATGACGTTTTAAAAGGTGTATCTAAGTGTATAACGTAATCTGCCAATGAAACCTATTCCATAAATACCCATCACTGAATATCTTAGCGAATACGAGGTTAAGCGTAAGTGTTATTAGAAAATGAAATGAATCGTTCGGTTCCAATGAAGAAATTTAATGAATAAGAAGCGATACATTCCAGTTCACACTCTCAAAAATATCATATTTTGATGTTTTTTAAATTTTAAACACAAAGCTATATAATGGGCTACCTGATCTGTGCTCTGCTCACCGTAGGTATCGAAATCCAATTTTTACCGTTATTATCAGACTTACCGCTGAGCCACAGAGGGAATATTTTGGGACAAATTATTTCGAGGCCGGTTTTCGATATGAATATAACTTATGAAATGATTTCTACGCTATTTATCACGTAGAGTGCGAAGTTAGTTAATTTGTGGTAATCCATATTGTAAACGTGTGACTCATACATTCAATAAATGTAATATAATTTTCTTTTCAGCCCTGTTTTGAACACAACGACTTTCGATTAACCCAATGTTCAGCGTTCAATAATGTACCCTATCGAGGAAGATTGTACGAATGGTTACCATTTTACGATCCAGAAGATGTTTGTGCCCTCACTTGCCAAGCGAAGGATTTCAAGTTTGTCGCTAAGCTTGCGTCTGCCGTTAAAGATGGTACTCGCTGTCGAGAGGGGTCGCTTGATATGTGTGTGGACAAGAAATGTATGGTAAGCAGGTGACCATTGTCCATCTTCAACGTCATCTGTCCGAACATATTATTTTTTACTCCTTTTATTTAATTTTAAAAAATCGCAAGAAATAAGAACTACACAACAATGACGTGAAAAAATGAAAAGCTATGAAAAAATAATTTATGTTAATTGTATAATCTACTTTGAAATGTTAAGAGGGTCTTACTTTTACATTATAAGAAACTTTCTAATCAATCGATAAATATTGTAAAAATATTTATTTTTTAGTGTGTAAAACAGTGGTCTTTAATATTAGAACCTGATTACATTTTAAATACGTTATGCCCCTGAAAGTGGAGTTTGTTTTGTCTTGATATTAACATAAAATGTGTGTTTCTACACTTTAGAAAGTGGGGTGCGACCTTGAGCTGGGATCTGATAAAAAGATAGACGAGTGTGGAGTGTGTGGGGGAGATGGATCAACATGCCGACAGCCGGATTACGTGTGGGAAGAGACACACTTGTCTCCTTGTTCAGTGACCTGTGGAGGAGGTACGTTTAAGCCATCTGGTACCAGAAAAAAAAATTAACGACTGATTTTTAGGGCTAGATACTTATGCTAAGATATTTTCTTTGTGTTTGTCCCTTAACAACATCTGGCAACGAATGTATATCGCGGATGCCGCATCGTAAATTTGTTTGAAAGAATATATATATAAATGAACGTTTGATAAGGCTGTATATATATTTTTCAGTCGGCTGTCACTTTGTTACGTATTAGCTTTACACGACCATTTTTCTCCGGCGAGAAATTTCTCGCAACGATCATTTCGTAAAATTATCTAAAGTTCGTTGTTATAACAAACTAATTAGCTCATTTAAAAAGGATCATCATAGTTCTTTGAAAGTGTATTCCAATATAATGTTCAATAAATTCTGATGATTCACAAAATTTCCCGATATTAACTCCTATTTCGTAAATTATAAATTAGTTTGTTTGTTTGTTTTTGCATTTTCATTCAAAGATATTCAAAAGATTGCCTGCGCATAGCCATCCCTAATTTTGAACTGATAGACTAGGGGTAATGTAGTTAGTCAACAGCACCAACCGCCAACTTCAGGGACAGTCTTGTGTGAACAAGTAATGGGATTTGACCGTCATTCTTATGGCGTCCCCACGGAGACAAAAGCGCAAAATGCCTTGGATTCACAGTCTAGGCACGCTACTATTAGGCTACGCTAGGCCCTATATATTAGCTCTTACATATCACATATTATTTGAAACAACAACTAGCTTATGAAACCTGAGATTGACGCTTTTTGACATTTCGTGTAATCGACTCGTATATTTTTTTATCAAACCTTTTGCCCATGGATAGGGCCGTTTCTTTTGTGGCGTTACTAACCTGCTTATTTTTAGTGATTTGTTATAGAAACACGAATATGTTTCTGCTGTTTCACAAAGTGACTTTAGTAACAATTAATCACCAGCTATCTCATTTTGTAATTTTTGTATTCTTAAGATTTTACCCACAACAACCTTCACAAAGCAACTCCTACGTTATTTCAACCTTACAGAACTTAACATTAATTTATGGATTAACAATTTTAAATCACAAAAGGTTTGTTATACTTAAGAAAATATAAGACTGAAAAGTAAGGAAAAATGTCTTGCGAAAGACATTTAAAATACTTACCTGTACACGGACTTAATAAATTAGGAACAGATTAGTTTTATTTTTTGTTTATTACACACGGCTTACTTTAGTCGCATATAAAATGTTCTGAAAATAAATATATATATATATATAATAATAACCTTGTTCTGAAACTGTAGTAAAAGTGTGACATATTTTTATTTAGTGTAGTTGATATACCGTATTCCACCTATCTTAGCCTTCTACGTATTGAGAAAAAATATTAAATTTTAATTGTTTATTTCAGCAGCAACGTTAGAAAGCAATGTTTTATTTTTATCGAACAGAAGTCCAGTCTAACGTATCAGTTCATCGTTTTAAGTTTGCTATTTTTGAAAAATCCCATAGGCATCTACCAGCTGTATTACACTAGACCGGAGGTTTTGATTAGCACTTAGCCAAACATTTTTTCCCGAGGGGTAGTTCTCGCTTCGATGGGGAAGCTGGAATTAGAATAGAAATCTGTGTATAATGCCAGGAAATGTGTTCTCCTTCGTAAGCTTTGTCAGCTTGTCAAATCCACACCCTGATGCCTGAGGTTAGGCTTCGGCGTTCACGCTGTAAACTTGACACCGGAGCTAACTACGGTATTGACTGAAACCGCTCATTCACTGTTAGCTTTATAGGAAACCTAAAAGGCTGTTTGTGTTCGGAGTTCTGATATTCTTTCACTGCTCTCGTGTTAATACCTCCTTTCGTCGCTCATGTTCATGGTTCTTTAAGAGAGCGTAACAGAAGATACAGGAAATCCTTAGATTTCTTTTATCACGTGTGTGCGCGGCAAACGCGCATAAATATGTCAGTTCTACCTTCTTCTACGTATCGAATTAATAACTAACT